TGTTTTAGATTTATTCGGTATAATAATCCAAACAGCGGTGGACATATAGTATTAGAGATCCTCAGAGCCCATTGTCAACCTTGACTTCGCCTCAGTTGACAGTGATCTTTTGGGTCGCTAAAACTGTACGTCCACTTTCGTTGGGGTGTACATTTGTATAATGTCGACCATGTTTTAACAAAGTAATGAAACTGTCAACTCTGAAAGAAAATCTCAGAAACTCTACTCGACTGATCATTCAGGAGTTGCACAATTTACGTGATTTGCAACGTAAACCGACAACAAACTCATCTTTTTTTCAGTTAGTAATGCCCCGACTGCGTGATTTTGGTGATCGGTGAGCCTTTTTATCTTGAAAAACTGCGTGATCTGTCCTGCTTGGGTCGCCATTTAAAAAACAAACGTTCTACTGTATTTTCCTACACCTACTGTAAAATATTTTATTTTAGCTGGAATTAATTTTCACTAAAAACACATTTTTGGGTGTATTGTATGGAATTTATTTTCACTGATTTTTGGCGAGTGGAATGTAAAATATAGGAAAAAGGTATATTCGCTGGATTTTATTTTAACTGAATCATTCCTTCAGCGAAAATTAATTCCAAGCGAAAATAAAGTATTTTACAGTATTAAAGCGGGGGAGTCGTCACCTGCGCATGCGCCAGATGGCCATATCGTGTCATTGTTTACAAACAAGCGTCTGCCCATGAGCATTTGCTTTTTTATCGTGTGTTTGGGACCCAATTCCCGTGCGTGCGCAGGTGACGACCCTCCCGATTTAAATACACACTGTCGTGGTTCAATCTGACAAGGGTTAGTTTGGAGGGGTAACCCGAAACAAACATTTCTTGGCTGGCGAAGATGATGACATACGGCCACCTTGAAATGCACGGTAATATTCGTGTGCATAATACAAACTATATGCTCTCAGTATAATGTGAGCATAGATTTTCAACCGTCATACTTTGAAAACATAGCAACTATATGTCTCTACCCAACTGTGAACTTTGGCTTTGGGGATGATTTCATTATTTTGCACAGGGCTCCGTGTCGGTTTTCGTGCTGTGCGTTGGACCCGTGGAATCGACTGCAGTATCTGCTGCTACTAGTAGCGCCGGTATAACGGGAGTATTTCAAGCAGTGTACTTCAGTGGTTCCTGTTGATCAGCAGCGATTACTGCACTGCACGTCTGCATATGTACCTCAGTATATGGTACAGTTCACTGGAGTCAGGAATCAGCATCGGATATTACAGGATCAAGTTAGCTCACTTTCCTGACTGAAAGTTTCCACACATCTGACTGCATTATGGGCATGTAAACAATAAAATGTATCCAACGAAATGATTGGTTATCTCGAAAACGTGGACATGTGAGTGTATTGAGGATGCCAATTTTGGTAGTGAAAAAAAATTGTTATTCAAGCTCTTGACTTGGGTCAATGATGTCATATTTATTTTCATTGCCAACAACACTGGGCTCAGCACATTCCATGGTATTTCACAACTATCCGAGACATACCATTATTCTACAGGGGGAGATAGGATCTATGTATCTCAAATTCTGCTGACAACACATTCAACAGTCTAAAAATAAGCACGTGCAATGGGTTGTTTTCATTCACACAGCGAAGGATCCGTTTTCTAAAAGTACATTTCACTCACAATTTATGTCAGAATACTTTGAGACACAATTCTAAATTGTTGATTTGGATGGACAATAATCACTTTAAAATCTTTTACTATTTTAAGAATTCATAAATTGTATTTTTTTATACAAACAAAACAAAGTTTCGTTTAAAAATAAATATATCTTTCTGGAACCCCAAATTATAACATCTAGATCATCGAAAAA